TGAACCGATTGCAGCCACCAGTAGAGCTCAGTTCTACTCTGTCACACATAGGGGTCGCCGTGAGTCCGAATTGATTCCACGGCCCAAGGCTTGGCTGGTTTACAGCCTTCTCCTGAAGTGCCGTCAGAGGTGAGTGCGCTGTGTCCAGTTCCGGGCATGCTCCTTACAAAGTCCGGCTCCATCAGGAGGCTTCCCTGGGACTGTCGACTCCAGAAAGGGCTCGAGTGGAAATGCTTCTTAATAAGGTTGTTGTCTTGGAGGGACTTGATGGCGAACCTTCGCACCGCCTGTCACCCCTGACGGGGAGAAGGGGTTTCTGGCCCTACTGAGGCCAGTCATGACTGGAATGTTCTCAGAGGCTTTGCCCACAATAACTAAAACCAAACCCATTGCCATTGAGTCGATGCCGACTCGTAGCGACCCACCTGATAGCAGGCCTGCACCTTTGGGTTTCTGAGGCTGTCAGTCTTTACAGAAGCAAGCAGTCTCACCTTTCTCCAGGGTGGGGTTGAGCAGTCCGATGCATACCAGAGCTCCCTCTTTGCCCATGATAGGATTTTAATAATTCCTGAGTGGACTACAGGAACCCCCACCCCATAATGTGCCGTATTTTACAGAATAGTGGCTCTGGGCCTTTGCTTCCTCCTCTCTCCTCAAAGCCTCAGAAATTGTGAAATAATGGAATGAAGTTTCTAGCATTTCTCTTGCTCCTTGGTTTATGTGCATTATTTTTACGTGTTTTTGTTTTCATCTTGGCTTCTTTGCTTTTCTGAACCAAACTTCCTTTTGTTCTTTTACGTTCTTCTGGGCGAGGGAGTATCTTGGGGACTCAACTCCTGGAGCTCGAGCAGGTATTAAAACCCTGCTGTCCTTTCTGCATTGGTGCCCAGTGCTCGAATTTTTCTCCGACAAGGAATCATCTTATTGATTGAGCCTGCCTGCAGACTGTGAGTGGTTGACAACTGTTAAACTAGGTTAATGCATAATAAGTTGTCATTCATTTACCCAAACAAGT